AGAAGGTTCTCTGGGAGAAGGTTCTCTGGAGAAGGTTCTCTGGAGAAGGTTCTCTGGGAGAAGGTTCTCTGGAGAGGGTTCTCTGGGAGAAATGCCTGTGGACCAGCGCCCTTCAGCGGTATGACAGCAGGTGGGAGTCTGGACTTCAGACCCTGCCCAGTCCAGTGGGGGCTGGGCGGGCGGCAGATGGTGACAGCAGGGTGGCTGTGGGTGGACCTTGCTGTCATCCTAGTGACAAGGCCTGGACGACCATTTCCAAAGAGCTGAGTCAGAGCTGCTTTCTTCCTTGTCTAATGATTTAATTCCAATGAGGACATATCGCTATCAATCTGAAAGAAAGTCGGACAGCTGCCAGAGACTCGACAGTGGGGGCAGGGGGGTGCCTTCCATCTGCAAGGGCTTCCCAGGAGGCGAGGCGGCAGGACCTGAGCCCCACCAGAGGCCCCCAGCCCCCCATCGCTGCTCCCCCAAAGTCAGTCTGGTTCTGAAGGAGTTAAGGAGGGCAAGGGAGGAGAGCTGCCTCCAGGGAAGGACAGAGCGATGACTCAGGAAAACAGCAAAACAGCTTGGCGGGTGCAAGAGCAGCAGACTCTTCCCTCCTTGTGACATTTCGCTGAAATCTTAGTAATGGGGAACAGAGCAGGTGACGAGATACTTCCCAAACCTGTGTCCTGTGAGCCACCAGAAATAATCCCACTCAGCCGTTCCTGGGGACCCCTCCTCTGAAAGGACAGCTTTCTTTGGGGTAACCGGCCTCTTAGCTTTCGAGCCACAGACAGTGACAGCTGAGGCCTTTTTTATGATGTTCAATGCAGCAGGTACCGTCCAGATGCCCTCCCCCTCCTGCCCCCCAGTCCTTCCAAGGATCCCCCGTGTGGCCACACGGGGTCTGAACTCCGGCAGCCCCATTCCAGGGCACACCCACGGCCTGCGGTGAGGAAGAGCCTGTCCCAGCTCGGCAGCAAGTCGCCTTCCGCATCCAGGGCCTGTGTCTGGAGATGAGGCTCACAATGTGCCCATTTTCCCCCTTTACTGCTAATGCTGGGGGAGAGAGGGCAACAGGAGCTAGTTCCAGGAACTGAAAGAAAAGTGGAAAGTCGTGTGTGTGTGTGTGTGTCTGTGTCTGTGTGTCTGATTGATGATGCAAGGCCTGTTTCACAGGCAGTCCAGTCCCCAGAAGCACATTCGCCTTCCAGCCTTCGTATGGGGCCACCAGAACCTGGCCTGAGCCACAGAATAAGTAGTGGAGGGGAAGCAGGAAGGGAAGTGGGGGCTCCCCAGTCATCTCCCCAGGTCTCCAATCTCCATGCAGCCGGGCACACCAGGCCCCCGCCCCCACCCACATCCGGCCTGAGTCACTGCTCTCCCCTTCTCCATAGTCTAGGAAATGACACATCGTTATGGGAATTGTCTCCTCTGGAGAGGGAAAGGGCCCCAGCTGAAAGGCCTGCACGTCCCCAGGAAAGCCAGGTCTGTGCATGTTTTTGTGGGTGTTGAATTTCCTTAATGATGTCGCCGAGGCGCCTACTGAGGCCTGCGTGAAAAAAAGAAACTCGGTCGACAAGCTGAGACAGGCCTCATGGCCCACAGGGTGACCAGCACTGCTCGGTCAGAGATGGGCGGCATGGGACAAACTGGGACGCAGAAGTCAGGGCACAAACTCCGACACACCGGGTTGCAGATGCTACAGGGTGGTCAGAACTGAGCCTGCTGCCGCTCAACAGTGCGGCCTGAGGAAGCTACTCAACCTCTCTGGGTCTTGTTCTTCCTAAAGGTGGGGGTCTCGGCGCCTGGAGGAGTTATGGAAGATTAGCTCAGAGAGCTCACGGGGAGCTCTGAGGATACACCTGGCAAAGGCTAAGCACTCAAGGGGAAATGACTGGTTTAAAGCAACATCTCGGCCTGCACCCTCCCACCACCACCCCTCTCCAAAACGGCTCCCTTCGCAGGAGCGTGAAGCCCTGGACACGATCTCTCCATTTCAGTCAGAAGGCTGGATGCCAGGTTTCCTCCCGTTACTACAGAGACAGGTCGAGACAGCGGCCAGGGCCCGTGCTGGCTCGGGGAGCAGGGCCGGACTGACAAAAGAGCACTCGCTCTCCTGATTACAGCGAAGGCCCCGACAGACGGTTAGATGGTTAATCGGTTAGATGGTTAATCGGTTAGATGGTTAATCGGTTAATCGTTTCAAAGGGTTTCTTTTCCCTAAGACACCAGCAGGTACCCACCCCAGGCGGCCTCCCTCCGCAGGAATCTCAGGGCCCTCTCCAGCCAGCAATGACATCATGATGAAACAAAAGCCTGGAATTTCTTGCAGGCCCAGAGCAGACATGAGAAATTTGGGAGCAAAAGATCAGGGGTGTGGAAGGGGCAAATGCTTCTTCCAGCACAGAATGCCCAAGCCCCAAGGGAGGTGTGAGGGGGAAAATGGAATCGTCAAGAGAATATTTATATTTAGCACACACCAAACACCTAGAATCACACCATCTTGAAAACCAGGTTGGGGCCTGGGAGTCATGAGCCTCCTCCGGAGAAGACGCCCTCACCTGCGCTGGGCCTCCGAAGAGGAGCGTCTCCCCCGGGCCAGGAAAAGGAGGGCTGGAGTGGAAATGAGGCACGGAAACATCGGCCCACCTGGGCAATGTCTTGTAGCAGAAAGCTGGGCACCGGGGAGGACGGGGCAGAGGGGGGCAAGGGACCAGGGAGGGGCGCTTACCTGCCACTGGGAAACCGCTGCTGCCCGGAGGACCCAGCCTCTCTTTTTTAAAAGAGAACAGAGGCTCACCCTCGGCAGCCATTCCTGCTTCCGGATGCTTAGAGGCCTCTCCCAGGGGGAGGAGGAAGAAGCAAAGCGGACAAGCCGAGAGTCACCACTTACCAGGCCAGCCCGGCCTTGTGGCCTCCGTATGCATTAGGTGGCCCGCAGGGCAAGGACAGGCTCACCTCTCCGGGAATCAGACCGTCTGCGGCAGAGCGACGAGCCTCCGTGTCCCTGGGCTTTCAGCTCTAATTTATCACCCTGGACAGACAGCAGCTAGGCCGAGCCGAGAGCCTCCAGCCACTGCAGCGGGGCCATTTATTTCCCCGGATGTGAATAAACACTCAAATTGCAGTCGTTCAGCTGGTTGAAAAGCAACCATCCAAGAGGGGGAGGGGGAGTGCTGGGTAGTTTGCCCTTTGAAGGTTTTTTCTGTTTTTTTAATAATTGTTCCCCAATTCTCCCCGGTTCCAATGTGCCTCTCCTCCAAGAAGCCAGAAAACGGTCTTTTTTTTTTTTTTATTGGTGTCGTAATCCTTTCCCACTGTGGACCGTCTGGATGTCTGCCCCTCAGTAATGCAGAAATGACTGAGTGGCACATTCATATGTAAAAGGTGAACCCCCAAACCTGCAGGACAGAAATGGCTTCTATCCCGGGAAAAGAGGCTGATTTACAAATGAATTCCGTGTTTAGCCCTCAACAACCAGAGGCAATTGCAAGCCCAGAGCCCTTTCTGCCCCTCTGCTGGGAAGAAGCCTTCTGGAAAAATCAAAAACATCTCAACAGGAATTTCCTGGTTCAAGAATGCCAAGCTCTTTCAAACTGCACAAAGTGGGGGAGGCAGGGTCCACCCTCTGAGAAACCACCACCCCCCACCCCACATACACATGCCCCTCACCCATCCCCCTCAGTAGGTACAGGACCTTCTGGATGGTTACAGCAACGTGTGTACATATTTGAGGCCCTGATATGAACCAAATCACCACAAAGAAAATGTGGAGTAACTGGTTGCCTCTGGCCTTGACTCGGTAGCTGGGGGGGTGGGGGGGTGGGAGTCAGGGGTGGCAAGGTTCACAGGTGGCTGAGGCCATTTGCATTACTTATCCAGGGGCCTAAACCTGGTGCACCCACCCCACCTCCCCACTCAGCCCGGCAGGCCCAGCTCAGGTTCAGGAAACTTCAAGGGCTGGCGTGAGGCTTTCAAAAGGCAAAAGGAAGTGCAGTGTCTGTGGTCCAGTTCAGAAACAAAAAGACGCTGCCAATGAAGCCTAGAAGCAGCAGAGAGAAAAAAGGGTAATAAAGAGGCTTCGGGAAGGGGAACAGATGAAGGGAGAGACGCGGCAGGCAGGCGGGCAGGCAGGCTGGCGGGCGGGCAGGCAGGCAGGCAGGCGGGCGGGCAGGCAGGCAGGCACTGCCCCCACACCCACCGGAAGAGGGTCTGGCCTCTCCCAGTCACTTTATTAGACAAATCCTCTACAAAGACAGCAGGGACGCGGAGACCTGCTGCAGCCACCTGGTCACCTTCCGGAAAAGCAGCAAGGATATTCGAGTCCCAGAGTCCCCTGAATTGCCCCCAAAAGGCTTACTATCTCCAGCACAGTGGGGCCTGGGGGGAGCGGTGACCAGCGTGTCCTGGAAAGGAACAGCAACTTCTGAGGGAGAACTAGAGGCACCAACTCGTGACACCGCCATGAAACAGAATAAAGGAGGAACAGTGTCTCCATGCCCTGGCCTGAACAAAACCCGAGTGAACAAAGGCCAGAAACAGCAGCCGGGTGAAGGAGGCCGCGTGGGTCTGGAGGGAGGCCCGGCAGACTCTGCGCTCCTGTCTGGATGCCTCCTGATCACACTGACATATTTTACTAAGATTTCTAAGTGGTCAGAGGGGAAAGGCCGAGACAACCACCTTCACGGAGTTCACACTACATGCCAGGCAGTGTCTCAGCCAGGCACATGTCTGTGCCCCCATCTGGTCCCCAAGAGCGGCTCAGATCATGTCCCCAGGACAAACCGGGGGCCCCTTTTAAAGAGCTCAGTGTTTCTCAACATGTCATGTCCCCTCCCAGAGGACCCCTGACGACGTCTGCAGACAATTTGGGGACGCCACACCTAGGCAAAGGCAGGAGTGCTACTGGCCCCCAGTGGTAGAGGATCTTGCTAACCACCCTAACCGTGCACGGGGCACCCCACCCCACCCCAAAAGAGACATCAGGCCCCCAAAGTCAGGGGTGCCCACGTGGAGAAGCCCTGATGTAAAGAACCTCGCTGAGAGGGAGCTACCGGGCAGGTCTCACCTTGTGTAAACAAATACACCACCCACAGCGGCATCTGCGCCCATTAAAAGGCAAATGATGCCAAATGTTTCAGCCCAGACTTCAGATTTCAAAGAGAAGAAAACAGTGGGACCTGTCGGTGAGTCACTGAGCAGCTCCTGGACGGGAGCTTCTGGGGTTCCGAGGCTAATGTGGGGCAAGTCCCGCCCCCCACACACCCGACTGTGTAACAGCTGGCCTGTGCTGAGCACTTTTCATCACCATTCTCAGTGCAAATATCAGTTTACTCATATTGCGCCTTCCACAGGGAGGGAGGGAGTGGGGATCCCCGTTTTACTGAAGAGGAAACTGTGATCCGGAGAAAATCGAGCCCGGGATGATGCTGTCTAGAACAGATCAAATGGCTATGATTTGCTCTAGAAACATCAGACACTGGTCAGAGGGAGCAGAGGCCAAGCAGGAGGAAACCCGGGGCAATGGTGTGACCTAGGGGGTAGGGGAGAAAGTTCCCAAGGAAATGCTGCTGTTTTCTTCCCAGACTGAGCTCATGTGACTCAGTTGCTTATTGAGATCAGCCACTTCCCTCCTTGGGGTTCCTACCAAGAATCCCAGCACATAAGAATGTCTGTGCCCATTTTAAAGGTACAGCCATAGTATTTGTTTTATATGCCCCAAGAAGACAGGTCAGTGAGCCGGCTGGGGCCTCCACCTGGCTGGGTCCTATTCTGAGGGCCTCACCTGCACCAGCCACCTGCCTTCTCTAGGGCGGGAGCCCACCTGCTAAGGACAGGCTTGGCACGGTGTCAACACAGCACTATTGTTCAACGTGTGGGCTCTGAGCCACACCTCTGGGGCCGGAATCCAAGGCGGCCACCTGCCAGCTGTGTGTCCTCTGGCGAGTTGCTTAACCTCTCTGTGCCTTTGTCAGTTCGGCTGCCACTGTTAGCATCCACTCAAAGAGTTATTAGGGAGAAATAACAAGAAGCAGGCAAAGTGTCAGAGCCCGTGAATTATTACTGTGATTATTTGAGAAAAGGAGGCTCCGGGGCAGGAAAAAAAAGACTAAAACCCTGAAATCCCAAACCCGTTTCCCCAAATCAAAAAGATCTTCATGATCCGCCCCAGGCTCCTCCAGCTTGCCTAAGGAAAAGTTGCACTGGTGAAAAACACCGCTGAATTTCCAGGTCAGTCCCCTCTCAGGCTGGCACGGGTCCCAACAAGCAGGGCTCAGAATGCCCCCCAGGGCTCAGGACTTCCTCCAGATCAAAGCAGAACCCTCCAAACCCTCCAAGGGGCCCCCCCATCCCAGTCCACTCCCCACCCCCATTCCAGGCTGACCTTCTCCAGACTCCTCAAATGCACCCTCCTCCCTACTCAGGAGAGGCCCAGCGAGCCCAGGAGGGTGTTGGCCTCAAGAGTCCTGTGCAAAATGCATTATGATGCCAACCCTCGCGGGGTAGACTGACAGTGCCTCCGTGATGCCTGGCACACAGCTAGTGCTCAGCAGACAGTGCTCCTTCCCTACCATCCTCACTTCTGCCTGTTTATAGTTAGTCCAACCTCCAGTCATCAACCTTGATCCAGGATATGACCATTCGCCTGCCCCTACACAGCAGCTCCCAGTAAGAAAAGCACTTTTACCCCACCCCTCAACCCCTCCCTCGTGAGGGGCTCACAAGTGTATTATTTTTGTCAAGACCTACCAGCCTGTCATCTGACCCTGCCCACCCTCGCTCCTCCAGCCAGCCAGCCTACCACAGGGCTTCAAAGAAGCCACACTCATCTGCACTCGCTGATTTTTCCAGCTAGCAAGTCCCATACCCAACCTTCCCACCGTTGGCAACTTCAGCTTTTGGCTCAAATGTCACCTCCCCAGAGAAGCCTCCTTGGCCCCCCAGCTTCCAGCCTCAAGTAGCTTTCCCCTTTCATCTCTAGTTGAAAATTATCAAAAAAGTATTTCCTTCCTTTGACGGTTCACATGCTTCTTGTTTCTCCTCCAGAATATGGGCTTGTCAGGCTTTCTTTGCTTTCTTTCACCCCAGCCTGATTTGGAGGTGCCCCCCCAATCACCTGACACCCCATTGAGCCACAAGAGAGGGTTAACAAAGCCACGGGGTTTGCTGGCAGAACAGACTTACAGGAAACTCCAGTTTTTCTTCCCCATCTAAGACATTCTCCCTGCAAATCAAGAAAGCTGGAGGGGTGTGACGCCATGGGGAAGATCACACAAAAGGGACCCAGGCCATTCCAGTGTCCGGAAAAAAAGAGAAACTAGAGCAGGAAATTCCCTTTCAACAGGTACTCAGTCTGTCTTATTTCTTCCCAAAGAGCCCACTTCCCCCAAAAGTAGGGGATTAAGTAAGGATTTATATCCTGAACATGAGGAGGCCATGCAGCTAAACACAATTGCTGAAAAGCCCAAGGGGGTGACTCAGGTTTTCTCTGGCTACCGGCTTCCAGTGTCTCTCCATTCTTCTGGGGGGAGCTATTGTTTCAGAATCATTTGGCCTTAAAAAAGAGAAATGACTTTCTTCAGGGAAACACTTCCCACAGGGAGACCCCCCCCCACCGCGATGACAATTTAACCAAATTTTTTTAGGGATTCTTTGCACTTTTTCTTATCAGACCCTTTTAAGTCTGGCGATCTCTTTCCCATCACCTCCCTTGATCCTCCGGCTGGATTCTCCAAATTCTGCCCTTACAAGAGGAAAGAAGCAAGGGCCGCTCTCTTATCTATTTGAAAGCAGCAACAACCCCAGCTAGCCTCAAAAACGGAAAGTGAAAAATTATTATCCAAGAGTTCCTCTTCTCTCCATCCCACCTAATCGGTATGAGTCAAGAGAAAATAAATCTGCTTCTCCTGTCTCCATCTTGATTCCCTGGGGCCTCTCAGCCTGTCAGCATCTCGCCAGGTTTGAGATGAGTCTAGATTTTAAAGATGTATGTTTGTCAAGCTCTCACCAACCACTCCTATCATACCTGGTCTCAAACCAAAACCAGCAACCTGGTTTGAAAGACAGTCCCCAGAATGCTGGGGGCTGAGGGAGAGGGCGCATTACCAGAGGGCGGGTGAAGGAGAGCCAGGGCAGCTTCTTTGGTAGAGGGACCCCATGACAGCCGAGGACAGCAATGACCTAGGACGGAGCCACCAGCAGCCAAGAAATTCATCCACCGCCAAGCCATGAGCTGGGAATGGCTCACTAAAGGACCCAGGATGTGCCCAGCCCACCCAAACAGCAAGGTACAACTTCTAAATTTGGGTTAGTGGTTGCCACTTTAAAAGTGGGGGAGGGACCCTCCATTGACGGGTTAGGATACAGCACTGCAAGCCAGCCACAGCCACGTAAGTGCAAGTTCGATCCCCAGCCTGGGAGGTGACCCACATGGCATGGCAGACATCTCCTGACCTGCCCCGCTGCTCTCCTCAGCAGTGTA